ACTCCACACATCACTAGCTGAGTGACACTGAGTGAGTGCCTCAACTTCTCAAAGCCTTGTGCTATCAAATGTAAAATAGAAATAATAGTAAGAATACCTATCACGCAAAGTTCTGAGGTAGATTAAATGAGATAATATATAAGGGGTCTTCAAAAAGTTCATGGACAGATTTGTATCATCTTTTAACTTCATTTTCCATGAACTTTTTGAAGTACGCTTGTACATAAATGCTTAGCAGAGTATGTAGCAAATATTCAAAAATATTAGCTATGATAACAGTGGTTATTATACTCCTACTGGAAATGTGTTAATAGAGATATGAACAGAGGAAGGACACCTAACTAAAACAGGGTGAGAAGAGGTGGGAAGATGAACACTATCAAGATGGGTGTGAATCAGCAGCCGGAGTGTGTTCAGGATGGTTGGAGTGGGATAAGGGATGGTTGGTCTCTCCTTTAGGTGTTTGATGGCACAAGTCCGAAGGGTTGTAGGCATTTAAACACCTCAGCTATTCAAGGCAAGTCTTATACCTCCAACCCACTGGACCACAGAGCAAGAAGAAGGGCAGAGGAAGAAGCACAGCAGGACATGTAGAAGGTGGATAGTAAAGGGCCTTATTTTACTTTGAAGACCTTATGTTGGAGTGAGCAGGATTGAAGCCATCTTGGGACCTAAAACTACATGGGCTGTAAGCAAATTTTAAGACAAGTTTTTTCTTGGCATGCGTTTTTCTGAGTTCCCTGTTTTCCCATGGTTGTTTGATATTTTGAACCTGGGTTATAGGACAAGATGACATTATTTACATGAATGTAAAGTTGTTTTCCAGCCAGCCTGAAGCTGCAGATTCGCACATAGTACCCAGACCCTGAGATAAGGACGGGAGCAGAAATCAGACGGACTCTTGGCGAGACCTTGCACCTGAGACCTTGCATGAAGCCCTGGCTGCTCACGTGCTCCTCCCTTCTGCTTTATATTTTCCCATGTTCTCTTCCTTCAACCCCTTCTTTGAAACCCTCTCAATAGTCTTTGAGATGGCTTTAGGCTGGCCATTCTCCCTCAGGTTTACCGGGGAGGTGGGATAGCCTACCATCTCCTTCAGCTGAATACGTCTGCTTTTCTAACACTGACCATTTGACTTCTGAGTCTTTTTTTTTTTTTCCCCTTCTCAAGGGAAAGGGCAGCAATCACTCCCCTGATGAAAGTTCTTCAATGACCTGTGAGTTCGGTAACACTTGTAGGTCATTGAAGAACTTTCATCAGGGGAGTACCATAACAGAAATTTGGAAGGGTTGCTCTGGCCACAGTATAAACTGGAATGGCTCAGAGAGGACTAGACTAGAGGCAGGGATGCCAATCAGGAGGCCGTTGCAGTAACGTAAGTGAGATATGATGAGAACCTAAACTAAGGCAATAGCAATGGGAGCAAAGAGAAGTGAAGAGATTTGAGAGGCTGTTAAGAAGAAAGGGGAAGACTTGGCAATTAACTGGATGTGAAGACCAAGGAGCAGTCAAGGATGACTCCCAGGTTTCTGGCCTAAGAGACTGGATGATGGAAGAGCAGATAGAGTCTCAATTTGGGACATGTTGAGTTTGGGGTTCTTTTATAGGACTTTCAAAAGCAATGTCTAGGCCGGCCCGGTGGCGCACTGGATAAGTGCGCCGCTTGGGAAG